TAAGGTCAAAATTCTCAAATAGTTAGGGTTTTTAAAAATATTTTCCAGGTGTATTCCTTAGTCACTTTTCTCATTTTTTCCCCCATAAACTGAAAAAAAAACCACCCAACCCTTTGAGCCTTTTTTGGCAAAAGGACAACAAATTTAATGTTAGTAGTCATTCTGTTAACTAACATGGCACTTTTTTCTTGGTATCTAAAGAAAGAACTAAGTGTACAGAACTTTCTAAAGTACAGCCAGGTTACTTCTGAAAGGGTAAAATTCAGGCATGATTTCTGCTTGTATGAATATTGTTTTTGCTTTGTGGAAAGTTCAGATACAGCAGATGGAAATAGGTGTTGAGATACTTTGGCATGTTATTACATTTTAAGGGGTAAGTTCTTATTCTAAATTACTGCCATTTAATTCATCCTGCTTGAAGGAGTCCAGAAGTTCTTTAACTGATGCATGTCTTCTCTGAAAGAAGAAAGGTCATTCTTAAAGCCCAGAGAAAATGGCAGTTTGAGGCTACAGATTTCTATAATGTTACTTAACATGTATTCTTGGCAAAGAGAAATAAAGGCAGGAAATAAATTACTGATCACAAATCACATCAGCACAAGAGCTGGAAATACTATGTCTAAGCTTCAGATCTACCATTTTTGCTGGGGTTAAGCAAAATGCTTGCAATTAATATGTTCTTGCAGCTGTGCTGAATTTAATGTAACCCAATTAAATCATTAAATATGTTCTCTTCAGACCTTGTCAGGTAGTTTAATTTATGGTGGACTTACCTTCAAAATTCAGGAGTTTTGTTTAACACAGCTGACATGCCATCTGTCAAGTCAACCATGTGCTTAGTTAAGGGAATGTAGTTCCAGGCAGGCAATGAAGGAATTGCTTCTCTAGAAAAGGAACAAAATCAAACTGTGCTAGGGCCTTTTGAGCACCAGTGAAGTATTTTGCAAAGGGGGAGGGCCAGGCATAGCTGTGTGGAGGAAAAGAATGAGAGGGAATATAGTGCAAGGCAAGATTTTCTGAGGCATAAAAGACCCCAGCATAATATGTATTACTGGAGGAGAGCATAGTTAATAGCTGTATAGCTCTGAAATCAATAAACAGCAATAAAGAACTCTAAATTTTCTGTGCTTGTCTTGATGATGTTTGGGTCCTTCCCTAACATACCAGGCCCACAAGTATTTATTTATGCACTTAACCTTCCTTAAAGATCTTCACATGTGATGCTCAAGTGACTAAGCCTGGGCAAGCGTGAGAATTTTACAAGGTTATGTAGGACTCAGACCTGAAAAAATAAAATAAGAACCCTTAGATTAGCATGTTTTCATTAGTGCTTTAGGTTTTGTGCATTTTAGACTACTTATGTGGTGTAAAATTCTTCTGTATATGTTAGCAGTCCATTAACACATTTTTTGAAATTTTGTAGATTAGTATTTTATGAATATGCACTTGTTATCTTCCTCTGATATTCTCTGGAACTGTTTTTAACAGGCACTGGTAACAACATTTGAGTGGTATTTATAGCTTTGTTTGCCTTGCTCTCTACTGGAAAGACTAATCTCTTGAACATTTCATTCCAGTACCTCAGATTAATTTTCCACAAATCAACTTCAAACAAATTCTAGTGCAGACATTCTTACACTGCAGAAACTATCCCGTCTGAGATAAAAGCATGGTATGGTTAGGACAAAGGACAAGGCACAGTCATCTTTTTGCAAATCAGCAAAAGATCGCTGCAACCAATTGCAATCAAGAATAAAATTACATTTCAATACATCAGAAGAATAAACATCTGCCTACTCTGCTCACCATTCCTTTAATAAATTTAAATAGTTTCACAAAATTTGTACAGCTTGTCATTTTAAATGACTATTAATTCTTTTCTGAGTAACTGCAACAGAGTTTTACTAATCAGTTTATATGATCAGTCCTGAAGTGACTTGGTTTTATTATTGTCCTTGCTGTTTTCTAGAGACACCCAGGTTTCATATTTCCTTCCTGCAACTCCAGTTGCTCTTCACATTCAAGTCTTGTTTCTTGCCATAGATACTAAAGAACAGTTTGATTCTTCTATCTTTACTTCTACTCAATGTCATTTATTCTACATTGTTTCATAATATCAAGGTAACTGCAGAAAACAGAGGTGAGGACCATAGAAATCTTAGCTAATGGACAAGCTTGGGCAGGAGCAAAATACCATAAACTTTCAGCAGTTTGATATTTCCTACCAATGATCAACATGAGACATTTTTAACAGCCCACACTACAGGCTTTATACTGCTAGTTTCACATCCCTGTATTTTAGTTTGGTAGCAAAACTTTTTGTATCAACAACAGTTTCATTTCAACAAGTGTGTACCATCCCTTGAAAAATACCACACTGGAAAAGCAGACAGCTTGTGCTCCCACTGTTTTGATGCCAGGTCTTCTACTAACAGATAAGATTGGGCTTAGGTTTGGCATCAGATTTTATTCTCAAGTAGGCAGCTGCTTCTAGAAAAGAGCCAAAACTGTTTGTGTGTCAAAACCACAATGACAAAAATTCAGCATAGCCTGCCAGCCAGCATATCTTTAACAGGAGTATAAAGTGTCCAGCAGAACAACTAAATGGAATTATTTTGAAAGCTGCTATTAAGTTTCAACAGTATTGCTAGTTTCTCTTTTAAAGTCTGTAACCATTTCTCACAGGTGAAGGTTTATGTGTTTTACTGAGTATCTTCTGCCTTCTAAAGAGGCAAAACACCATGACAGCAGTTCCTTTCCTCACAAGCAAGACATTCTTTCTTAGCAGACTGTTGAAATTTCCCATATAAAATGTAGATTTTAAAGTGAAAAAAAATTCAACTGTGAAATAGATATTTAGCTCCTTTAATAAGCAAAACTATTGTCAATATATTCTGATAGACATTGCTTTTAATTGTAACAATATTTTAATTCAAGGCAGTCTCAAAGTTTAATGAAGTAATGTAAAAAAAAAAAAAAAATTATGGTTCCAGCAGCATCATAGGTGGAAATTTTGATGTAATACATTTCTTATTTTTTAACTGTGCCCAGACAACACATCATTACTGCATTTCCAATCAGCCAAATGACTGATTTCAATGAGAACTGTGAAACTGCAGAGAGAACAAAAGCAGCACAGGGAAACAAATAACAAGGTTTTGCATTTGAAATACCTGTAGATGGTATAACAAGTGCTCATGTTATTCTGGTGCTATGAAGCTTGAAGAAACCCCACTGGGCCTTTAAAAATCCAATACCTTTTATCATTATTTTCGTCATACAGAAAGTAGTCTTATTATTTCTCTTTCAAATTATGCTGGGTTTTGCTGGGATAGAGTTAATTTTCCCCATAGGAGCTAGTATGGGGCTGTATTTTGAATTTGTACTGCAAACAGCGTTGACAATTCAGGGATGTTTTGTTATTGCTGGGCAGAGCTCGCACAGAGCCAAGGCCTTTCTGCCCCTCACCCCACCAGGAAGGAGGCTGGGGGTGCACAAGGAGCTGGGGGAGGATGAGCTGGGACAGCTGCCCACAGCTGGCCAAAGGGATACTCCAGACCATGTGGCACCAAGCTCAGCTAGGGAAGGAGGAAGAAGAGGATGTTTGGAGAGATGGCATTTGTCTTCTTAAGCAAGCATTACATGGCAAGGGGCCCTCCTTTCCTGGAGATGGCTGGACACCTGCCTGTCCTTGGCAAGTGGTGAATTAATTCCATGTTTTCCTTTGCTTGTGTGCAGCTTTTGTTTTACCTGTTAAATTGTCTGGCTCTCAGCCAACAGGCTTTCTCATTTACTGTTGTGGAGCATGGTTGTCTGCTGGGACAAATGTTCTTTTCAGCATCCAGTGTGAGGCTTGAAGGGTTCAAGGTAACAACAGATTTTACTGGAATGTGCTGGATCTCATTTGTAGCTGCAGTTGCTGTTGATCTGTTAACAGACTCCCGTGCTTGCCATGGGTCTTGTTTGCCTTCTGTACACGAGTGTCTGGTGCTTGTTAGTGGCTGGGCTGTTGTTTTCACTGCCTGTTGTACCACTTATCTTCCTCCACTGTGCCTGGGAACATTCTGATAACAGCAATGTTTCTGTGCTGCTGGACCGGACAGACTGGAACTCCATGTGAACTCAAGTCAGAGGGTCCATGACCTGAGGGCGAGTTCAAGCAGCAGCAGGACACTCCAAAGCATCTGTGGCTGTGGGGGAGTCCAGGCCAGAGCAAGAAAACCTCCCAGTATTCCCAGGCTGTCTCCCATTAGAGTACAACCATGACAACAGTTCAGCAGAACCACCATTTCAAAATTATCAGCTTGGCACCTCTTCTGCCTGGTTTAATTTTACATTTGAGCTGCAGACATGTTTAGAGAGATACAGGGATGTAAAGTGTTATCGTTTCTCCATTTAATGAGTACTCCAAGTCCCACATCTCCGAAGTACTGATGTAAGTACTGCTACATTTTCATATGACCATTTGTGAGGAAAATGAAGTAATTTATATGCATAATATAAAACTTCCAAGTCTTACTTAAGGCCCTACTGAAGAAATATTTATTGATTCTCTGAAGCCTTTCACTGTAACAGCTGCCTCAGATATGAGTGTAGTGAAAGGCAGTAAATTTTTTCTCCTCATCCGGTATTCTGTTGTTCATTATCCTTATTTGGAAGTGTTTCTAAATAGCCATTCTTCCACACTGTGACCTCCAAAAAGGTCATGATTAATTTTCCTCCATTCTAATGGAAAAAACTCAAGGAAATAAGGTGTCATCTCACTTGAACTCTGTTTGCTCTGGCACATATTGCACTTTTCCCATCTCTGAGGCCCAAATCAGCATTTATTATACCAGTCTTGGCAATTTCTGTTGGCAGCATTTGACTTGACCTTTTAATCCAGTTAGCTTTTTCCACTGCAGTACTCAAATAATGGGCTGTAGGAAGAATTGCCTTTGGTCAATGGGTTGTGAAACACCAACATGAATCTTTGCCATCACAAATTACTGGAGCTTAGATGTATACAACAGACTGTGAAAAAAATCAGTCACAACAACAGCCTGTTTACCTTGGAAGGACAGTCTGGGCATGAATGAATTGTCCCAGAGGACTACATTTGTTCACTGAAAGTGCAGCCACTACAGCTTGTGCTGCCCTCTCCCCGAGGCAAAGGCACGTGTCCAGCAGTGCCCGGGCGCGGGCGGTCACCGTGGGGCAGGAGGTGATGCTCTCGTAGTCCACTCGGGACAGCGTCTGCTGCGAGCGCAGCACGTCCAGGAGGTGGTTGAGGAGTCCTTCTGTCATGCAGCTCAGTATGCTCTGTCTCTGGCAGGCAAGGATTTGGCAGCAGTTTCCTTTGCTGCAAGGACCTTGAGTGAAAAGGAAAACAAAATGAGACGAACCAAGTGGTTTTTTAATCCAGAAATTGTTAGCAAGTGATAGCATCGACACCAGAAATATAAACTCAGCAGAGGAAGGAAGGAGGAGGAGTTAGTTTGTTTGCAGTCTTTGTTTGAAACTAGTCCAAAAGTATATTCATCTCCTGTTTGAAATTCACAAAGACCAGATTACAGCAAAGAGGTGTTTCTAAACCTCTGGGTGTTCAGCCTGTGTGAGGGGAGAAGATTTTCAGGACTCACATCTGTATTTAACTTTATGCAAAGCACCTTGGCTGGACACAGAAGAGAAAACTTTCTCCTATAAAGGTGGAAGGACAGATAACAGGTACTTCAGGGTAGCAGGAGAGCTTGAAACATGTAGCATTAAACTAAGAAAATGAAGATAGGTCAAAGCCAAATAATACCAAAGGTAATACTCTTGATAAAATGGTTGAGAGCTTTGGGTTCTGCCTCTTTTCATGGGGCGATTAGTATACCTAGTGCTGATGTTAGGGTTTTTAGTGTACATAAAATACCATACACCAAGAGACAACTAATAACCAAAAGTCGCGTTCTTTGGAGAGCATGCTTCTGTCATTCTGAGTGTTGCCAGGAGAGTTCTGTGATGAACTTTTCCTGCATGGTCTAGTCTGTTGATTTGTCCAAAAATTATGTCATCACTCAAGTAAATTGCCATGGAGAAGGACAGCCAGCTAGGCTGAGAATTGTTATAGGTCAGTTTGCAAAAAGTTACCACAAAAACCCACAAAGCTTCACCCACAGTCAGAGTCTTCACAAATCAAAAGCTGACCCTTTCTGCCTCTGTTCTGCAGGAAGACCTGAGATGATGTGAGGGGATGAAGGGTCTCCTGTCACCTGTTTCTGTAGTCAATAGCTACTTTTGCAGAGGTAGGCAATACACAGCTTATGACTGCAAAAGAATATTCCAGACCTAAACAACTAATGTATTTTACATTAATGTATGCTATGTCTTTTGTGTTTTTATGATGGTCTTTTCAGAACCATTCTCAGGCTCACTGTGGCCCTGAAAGAAAAGAACAAGCCAATGTTCTCAGTGGTCAGTGCCTGAACTTCTGAGAACAGAGGAGCAGCTATACACAAATAGAGAGACATTTGTATCAAGTTAGAATCAATTACTCTGAATACCTGAAAATGTGCACAAAATTTAGAAATATCTGTTTCCTTCATGTTTTAAACAATTTAATCACTAAGATCTGGCCCAGGTGAGTACTGCCAGCTCAAAGTGGCAATGGTGCCTTACCTGTCACTGCTTGTCCAAGGTGCATTGGTTGTGGTCTGTGCTGAAGAGCCAGTGCTGGGGAGTTATGCTGACTGCTCTCTTTGCCTGCAGTTGAACCAGATGAAGGATTTGTGCAAAAGGAGCTTGATTTTCTTCTCTCAGAGCCTGGGTGATCTAGAAAAAGTTTAAGATGAGCAAGATTAGATCCTTGAATTGAACAACAAGAAAACATTACATGTCAGCCACTACTGGACACAGGAACTGAAGACTGACTTTAGATTACTTTGGCTCTTGTTAATACTTCATTATTCCTAGGAAAACTTTGGTATCTATCACTACACACATCTGGCTTTTCTGTCTGTAGGAACTTGTTATTGAAGTTGTGGAACATTTTATTCTGACCATAAGTCTGATGGCTATTGATCATAACTAAAGTGCTTGGAAATGCAGATGTGCTACACGTGAATTGACTTCTGATGTGTCCATTTTTGTACCTGAAGGCGTGAGAAATACATGCAGTCTCTTCTTGACACAAATTTAAACACTTAGGACAAAGCTACGTTGGAAAGGTAAAGAAAGTTATCCATATAGGAACAGGGATTATCAGGAATTACTCACATGTTCCTGGCAACATTGCTTTTTTAAAAATATCTCCAGATAAGATAAAGATTTTAAAGATGTCTATATTTCTTAGCAGATTACAAAAAAAAGCAGTTATTCCTGGTGGCACAAAGCAGCCTGATTCCCAGAAGGGACTTGTTCTCTCAAGAACAACAGGCAATATCTGATGTGTGAGAGAAAGGCAGCTCTACGTTTACAGCTCAGTATTTTTTAAAAAAGTACTTTTTTTTTCTCTTTTTTTTTTCTTTTTTTTTGTATACATCTAAGTGGAAAGCTTTGTGTCTCTGGTTTCCTGCAGGGAACTCATGCTTCAGGTGATACCAGTAGAAAGCACAGCTTTACTCTGAGAAGCAGCAATTTTACATGAAAAATTACATTTCTGTATGGAACAACTAGTAATATTTGTCCTTTTCTTGTAACAGCTGGAGCTGAATATAATTCAAGATGGTGACCTTTGGTTGCTGTTGCATTCTGTGGGGTAGCACTTGACACACCCATCTCAATATTATCTCTTCCTGCTGTATTTGCACTGCTATCAAGTAGAACAGTTGACGAACTTGGCAATACAAGAGGAATTTTCTTGCTGATTAAGTGGTTGCCTTTTTGTGGACAGATGATCTGAAAGAGATCAAAATAAAGAAGAGTTATCTTCTTGGAAACTTTTGTTCCAAAAGCTTTTCTAAACAGGAGAGGTTCAAAACAAACCCTAAGAGGAGGAGGAGGTTGTTTTTGCAGGAGCAACATCAGAGTGAGCCCTTGGAACAAGGTAAAGCAGTGGGGTTTGTTGGGTGGAGTTACCCTGGCCAGGAACATTTTGCCCAAGTGTTTGCATTACACAGTGTCAGGGCTGTCAGGAGGAGTAAGCAGCTGATGCAGAACTCTGCAGGCTCCTGTGCCACGAGCTCACCTGGGAATTGCATGTGCCTCTCTGCAGGGTGTAGGTCTCTGAGCCTTTGCATGCGTTAAGTGCTCTCTCCTGGAAGAAGAAAGCCACAGTAACTGCAGTAAGCGCACACATGGTTTGTGCCATTCACAGCTGCCAAGAGCAACAGTTTATAGTCACAAAACTTCTACTGGCGACATGTATTGTACTGTAAGGCACACTGGATGAACAGCACAGAGTGAACAGGTATAGAACCTGACAAAATTCTACCCTGTTACTCTTCCCAGTGTTTCACATTTATTTTAAAAGCTAGTGTTGAATCATGCAGGGGAAGGTGAAAATAAGTTTGTATTGAGAGAGATTGGGCTACCTAGAACATGTTTGCCTTCAAGTAGCCAAACAGCATGGCCATCCTGTGTTCAACCTGTCCGCAGGAAGGATGTGTCAACACTTGTAACTTTTTTTCTCATTTGTACATCCACAGCAGATTTGTTAAACTATTTTTTTAGATTTTATACTTCAACTGTTTTGAATCAATTTCCCAGAAACTTCAGTATAATTTTCAGAGTAATTTTTGACTTATCAGTTCAGTTGTTTGAACAATAAATAATGCTCGCTAATAAAAGAAATCTTCACAATCTAAAAAATTAAAAATTAAAACCTTGCTCAATGGAGATTGAAGCATCAAATTATGGAGAATTTGGCAGCACAATCTTAAATAAACTTCAACGGTAGTAAAAATTACTTTGACTCTAACTATGCCACCTATTAAAATATTGATCAAGGACGTTCTATAAGCCCAGAATGTGATTGCAACATATAGAAATCGTCCTGCATGCATCAACATACACAACACACAGTAATGAAACCATCAACACAGCATGGGTTGTGTAACTCCAGCTAGAGTCAGAGTCCTTGTCCAAGGGCCAAAACACATGTCAGTGTTTTCCCCAGTGCCTGTGTTAAGCAGCTAGGATGCAGCTCTGCTTGTGGCAGTCACAGTTGTGCCAGAGCTCCCATGGCTGTGTGAGCAGATATGGAGTTAGCTCCATCCCCCCTCGGTCCTTGGCTTCCCCATCCCCTCCTGTGGAATTAGAGAGCCCTGAGACCCTGGGATGAGCAGTGCCTTGGCCTGCTATCCTGGCAATTTAGAAGCAGTGAAGGGTACAGAGCAGTGCTGTTACTGGTATTGCTACCACAGGTACCAGTGCTGTTCAGGTTTTGAACTAAATGCTTTCTAACCAGTAATAAAAAAAACGCCCTGTCCTTCGTTCTAGTTCTAATCTGCAGTACTTGAGCTGATTTTTGCTCTCACTCACATGGGTTTGCCAGTCTGACTCCAGGTGGTGACTGGAAAGAAGGTATATTTTTAAAATAACAAGGTAGCAATTGACAAATATTCTAGAGACCCTCACAATATATATTCTACAATTTCTGAATGAACCTAAGTGCCAAAGGCCACTCTCCAGCTCTCTGGCACATGACCAGTAAAACAATCAAGACAAAACCTTCACTGGTTTTGGGTCAAAAAGATTACAATTGAATGAATCAAGTAATGTTATAGGAGAACAACAAATTTTGCACTGACCTTTGCATCCATCAAATTGTAGATTGCTGCAGAAATTACATCCTTATTTATACTAGTCAAAACTCCATTTAGAAGGTGTACACATTCTGCAGGGGTAATAAAACATTTTAAATACCACATTGTGTATGAAAGCATATATACATTTAGGCATCATCATATTGCAACTAACTTTACTATTATATTGACAAAATGGATGAAATAGAGGAAATAAGTTTAATACAACTTCCACCTCATACTTTACTTTATAGTAGGCAAAATTTTGGAGACAAGTAAGTAAATTTCTGGGAGGAAGCTTCAGTTAGAGAAAACATCAAAGGTAGTCCAATTATCCAAAGACCATTTCAACTTCAGTTACTCAGAGTGCTAAAGCAATGTTCCTGTAAAGACTGTCTCCATTACAAATCTTGCACAGAAAGAAATCCTGATAGTTACCTGCAGTATGTGGTCTATAATCTGGTTCTTGATGCCAGCACAGAGCAATGAGGTGCAGCAGTCTATTCCTCTCAGGCAAATTGCTTGGTATGAACTTTTCTGAAATGCCTGGCCGCAAACTGCTGCAGATTCCTCTCAAAACATTGAGCAGGGTTCCTTGACCTGCAATTTCAAAGAAAACGTCACTGCAAAAAATATTAAAGACCTCTTAAAATGACATGCAATGTAAGTCATATTGTATATTTTAAAACAAAGACTGCTTTTTTAAAAGGGATAATATGTTAATGCTGTTGTAAGTAGATATGCTAGCCTTTAGCATTAGCTATACCTGCTTATTGCAACAGGACTTCATCTTTCAGGGTGAAGAACTCTGTCCAATATTGAGTCACAAATGGTTATGTAAACTTTGACTGTAGACCACATGCACAGATTCCTCAGGAATACGTGCTATTATTTTAAGCAGAGTTTTATATAAAGCCTTGCATTTGCATTACAAGAATAGAATAAAATAATTGTTAAAAAAAGAAATCTATTTTGAGCAGCCTCAAGATGGCAGGCACGAGCTGTATGGGCATTTAGATATTATTCCATGCAGTATTTTTTGAAGGTCCTCAGTCTACAAAATACAGGAGTCCTTCAATCAGTTTTGCCATGCAGAAAGAAGCCTTTACTGATCTCCACTTCCTTGAAACAGGGATTGTTCCTAGACAGTGACAATTATTATACAGTGCTTTGCAAACCAAGTTCTCTAAAACTGCTCACACTTTCATTGAAGAAAGTAAGATTCCCTGCTTCCTTGAGATAATTCATCATGAACTGACATTTCTGGATTGGTATTTGAAACTCAGCAACTGTAAAAATGACTATTCTGCTCATTCAATTAGCTACTTGCCACTGATTTTAAAATTCCAGCTGACAAATATGAAGTGATATTCCTTCTCACTGAAGGTCCATGGAAAACCCAGCTCAGTGGCAGTGCTTCAGCAAGTACAGATTGGTGATACTACAGGGGAAAGAAGCTCTGCCTTTTCTCTTCAGAAAGAGCAGCTTCTTTGGAAACATTTAGGATTTGGTGAGGAATTGGAATATTTACATCCTCTAAGGTGGAGCTTTGTGCTGTAACAGTAAGAGAAGGCAAAGGGACATCTGAAAAGAGCATGTTTATATCATAATTTCACTACAATAAGGGAATTTGTGGACAAGGTGTGGACAGTACAAAGTCTGACATGAACAATAAATACCTTCAAAAGGTTTCTGTCTGCTGAGGCCCTCCCAACACAGGATTCCAAAACTGAAAAAAAAAACAAAAAACAACAAAACAGTGAAAGACCATTCATTAGTTTGCAATCTGTATCTACATTCTCTGTTTCAAAAGTAAGTTTATTGCTTTAACAGAAAGGAGTTTTTCAAGACAAAGTCTATCCAAGTCTTTTCTAATTCAATGAGACCTTTTTTCAGTTCTCAATTGAGTTGCTCTTATAAAATCATCAAGTTAAGGGGTTTTTATTGTTTAAATATAGGTTCAATTAGAATTACATTTCAGGTTACTGCCTTATTTCCATTTGCTTTTGTGAATTTTGGAAACTTCTGTTCTCCTTTCTCTATCATTATTGGTTTGTTTTCAGGTAATTTCAGTATCAACTGGACTTTTCAGCAGGTACCAATAAGCACATCAGTTAATGTAAAAAACTTGGTTCTGATGCACTGTGTTTCTATTTTCTTCAGCAAATTTTGATGGGGCTCCAAATACCTTTTTCCTTTTCCAACATCCTCGAAGTAATTACAGTGGGATCATAGATCTATACATATAACCCACAACTCAGATGCTGTAAAATACAGTGGTTTCATAAAAATATCAAAAATCAGAGGCAGTAAAGAGGAGGCTGCTGGATGAGAAAAAAACAGTCTACAGATAAGTCAGAAGCAAAGCAATCAAAAGGGGAAGAGGCAGTTCTAGGATAAACATATCTGCTTATTTATGTATCTTGCTGTAGTGATTGCAGTGGTTAAAAGAGCCTCCTCTTCTGCCTCCCTTTCACATAAGAATCTGGAAAGCATTAATGTAATGTGGACATACATGTAACTTAAATGTACTTTGTATTTCATGTATGACACAAATTTTTGCTTTCTCTGTTGCATCACTGTTTATATGCACAAGAATCTCATGCATCTGTCACATCCCAGCATATTACTATATAATGTATTATATAATAAATGTATAAATTAAATCATATATATAAATGCAATTTTGGAAAATTAATTATGCTACCTGAAAGTAAGGCTTTACTCTTCTTGTGCAAAACTTGTGTTTGCGAACATCATTAAATTAGTCACATCATTTATAGGTCTCCTCAAGTGCATGCATATTTAACTCATCTTAGAGCCTGCCTCTATGACAATAAAGCAGGAGTTTAAATTTTTAGGTTTCACAAAAGCTCAGAAATCAGAAGAGTGGTGTCCTTAAAAGTTATTTAAAACATTAGTCCACAGCTCTGTGTGCTGGCCATGATGGTGTGTGTCCATCCAGACCAGTGGCACCCTGAGGTCCTCTCATTTATTGAGGCAGCCACAATGGATGTAAAATCCCCAAAAGGGACATGTGGCAGCGAGTAATCTCCCTCCTTGGTATGAATCACTTTGTTAAAAAGTGCAGGTGCTTCAGTGGCTCAGTAACTTATCCCAGCAGAGATTCCACAGGATCTTAATGGGACACTATTGAGGGAAAGGTCTTATTTTTACCTGGGCCTGATCTAGGCATAAATGATTCTTTCTGAAACTAAAGCCAACAGCAGTTCACACTTATCAACTATGTGAGGCTTCTAAATATATCTGAAAGTTTTGGCAGCTGTTGCACTTTTAAAGCATTTAAGTCCATTATATAAATATTTATATGACTGACTTTGAGAGCAGTTTTTAATCTTGGTATCTGATTCACCAAATATGGGAATTTAAAATCTAATTCACTGCTGTAATTGGCCTTGTACCATACTATCCTACTGCATTATGTATGTCTGGCATTTTTACTGTAATGTCTTTGAAGATAACTGTTTTGGCAACATTGTAGAATGCAGCATGGACTAGGTATGGCATGCCCTTAGAAACTCCATTCACCTGTAAATATCACCTTCCTGGGAAGGAAGGCCTCCTTCAAGTATTTCAGGAGGAAGATACACTAAGTCCTGGCAGTTTCTCTGCTGGCAGTTCTGCAGGTCTGACCTCAGCTGCTGTTTCCTCCAGTTGGTTAGGCCATAATCTGATATCTACGGAAATGCGAACAAACACAATTTTAGTAACAATAAAACAAGTCTTGGTATCAAATGTTGACTATTAAGATCAATATATGCAACAATAGGAGAATCACTGGATTCTATGTTAGTGGACTAAAAGTAGAAGCTCCCACCTTGGCTCTGTACTGCACATCCAAAAGCACATTGGAAGGTTTCAGGCTGCAGTGGCAGAGAGCAGGTCCGAGGCTGTGAAGATGATGCAGCCCTTCAGCCACATCCGACAGGATCCTTATGAGTAAGGGAAAGGGAAGCTCTGGGTACAGCTGATGCTAAGCAACACAAAATACAGGTTTTGGTACTGTGAAGTTGTTGCTATTCCCATTTTCATTTGACAACAAACAGAAACACAATACAAAAGCACAATGCAGAAACTGAAGAACAGATTGTGACTGCTGTCCATAATTTACATGCTGATTGTTCTTTGATCTTGTAATTAATTTTGTCACCTCAAAGACTGCATCTTTTATCTACCTCATGGATGAGGGAGTGGAGGGATCCATTGTTCATCCATTCAGTCACTATCCCCACAAGTCCGTGGCACTGGTAAATCCCAAGGAAAGGCAGGAGACGTTCAGACTCATAGTGTCTGACATTTGCTATGTCCTGAAGTAGCAACTTCCACTCCCTGTAAAAAAAATATGTCAGAGGCAGGTTAGATTGAAGAGAATTTCAGCAGGAGATGAGAGTGTAGGATGTGGAAATGAGAGAAAACCCTATGGTTGAGCACGAGCTAGTCTTATTTCACCAATAAATCCAATATCATATAATCTTCCAAACAATTGTAAGAGCATGAAGCAGTCATAGTGTAATGTATTTTTTCTAATATAAAATGAAAGACCTCTGGATGCTTTAATCTCAACATACGAGCCCAGTTTGAAGCAGGATTGAAGTGTGAAGGCAGGAAAAAGCTGGAGTATATGAAATGCTAGATTAAGAATAAAGTGAAGAACCTTTACTGTTCCAAATAATTTGTATTCTTTTGCTATTAATGACATCCACATTTGCAAGGAGATGATGTGTTTCCATGGACATCTCACTGCTGTGTAACCCTGGCCATCCTTCCCTCCTCCCACTTCCCCTGCTCTCATCTGTGCATGCTGGTTTAGATTAAATTCAACTGAGGTCTCTTCAGGGACCTCTAGAAAAATAACACCTGAGCATACTGGTATTACTGATCCAGTCTGTAGACATTATTCCTGCAGATCAATTACTGACTTCAGGATTAAACTCTACTTTATAAAAAACTAAAAAAACATAGACCTTGTTTCTCAATAAAATTGCCTCCAAATTGCCTCTTGGCTGGTGAGGATTTCTAGGAATGGAGATGTGCTTAGGGATCAGGTGATGCTGGATATGCCAGGATTTGTTCTGGTGCCAGCCCTGCAGGTCTGTGCTGCCCACCTGCGTGGTGGGTTGGGCAGACAAGAGCCCTACCTGTCTGTAGTGTCCTGGCTGGTCAGCAGCTTCACAGAGATGGGAGTGCTCCAGGAAATATGAAAGGCTTTGAGTGCAAAGCCTGAGCCTGTCCTGGTCAAGGTAAAGCTTTCCAAATCTTCCTGGGCTACCACGGGTAATGGATTGGCCATTTCTTGATGGCTGGCTTGGGGGAAAAATGTGGCAGAAAAGAAAAAAACGTTTTAAGAGTTTTTTTTTTTTGTCACAATTACCAAAGCACAGTGAAGTTGCATCACTCCTTACTTCTAAATCCAACAGTCTTCCTTTCACCACTCTGTGTCAGACTTTCCTTACAAAGAGAGGAAAAATGCACTAATTGCAAAGGAGTGTCTGGACCATAATTTGCCATCTGAAGCTGCAAGGTACTAATTATTTGCTGATCATTATTTCTATCTGATGCCTTTAAAATAGTTGACCAGTATTTATAACATGAAATGTGATTTTAATGTGATACTAATTATGTAGACAATAAAATAACATCTTATAGTTGCATATCAGGCAAATAATTTCTCCACTTCTCATAAAAAACGCAATTATTCAATAACTGATGTCAGCATGTTCTGCATCATTCTTGCATATCATGTTTAATACATCATATGTAAATGCAAAAGCAAAGAAAAAGGAAAATTTCCTGCTGTTGTGACCTGTCAGAATTCTGCTAAATGTGTCTTTGTAGCTGCCATTAATTTGGGCAGTGCAGTGCCTGTGCAGGACCTCTCCAGGGCCAGATTCTCTTCTCAGACCCTTTGCATGGCAACACACAAGGATTAGAGACAACTTCTGCAAAGCCTCACTGTGTTATGCATGAGTAACACTTCTAATTACACCTGTGAAGCTCCTTTAGTCTGGAGACAGCCAAAAAGTGAGTGGTAAAGGAGGAAAAGAAGCAATCCAAGCTAAGAGATGGCATAAACCAGCTGGCACTGGTAAGGATTACTGCAGACCAGTGGTGAGTGAGTCAGAACTCCTCAAGCTGGAATACTCCCTCTGGGGTCCAGTGGACCAGGGCTAGAAAACGAAACAATGAGGGAACAGAAGTAACTGCTAAAGATTGTTGAATGAGAATTGTGTCCTTTTAGATGTGCTCTACAAAAAGAGCTCCTGGGATGCAGAAGGTCTCAAAGCCCAGATAACTTTTTCTCCACAAGTAAAATAGAAACAAAAGCCTGAAGATAAATTTGCCTGTGATCTTGCTTCTAGTTCATGAACATTTTGATGTTGGCTAATCTCAGTCTCATCCTGGAAGCACATTCACTATATAAACTCAGTTTTGCCTCTAACCACAATCAAAATGCACAAAGCAGCAGCTGATTTACCAGTTGAGCTTTAATCATATTTGATTCTGGTAGGAAAGTACAGTTTAACTTTTTGCTTTTTTGTTAGATTATTGTCGTTTGAAAGCAATAACTGCCTTGGGTGCTTCTCTGAAGTTTCCTTAAAGAAAAGATGAGGCTGACAAGTTAACAAATTAATAAAATTTGAAAAATTCCTCTGAAGGAAGATAATTTTCTAAATGAGAAATTTATTCCTTAAAGTTGCAAAGACAGACCTCACAAATCTACCAATCCTGAATGTAAAGGTGGTAATCAAAATGCTGGCAGAAGCAAATTATGTCTCATTTTTATTCTATACAGCAATAAGTAATAATTTAAATAACAAAAAACGTTTACTCAACTCCAACCATAGTGCAAGGAAGATCAAATAATGGTTTTACCACCTAAACCATTCCTGAAAGTATTTATTTTTATTAAAAATTGAATCAAGTAATAATATAAGCATTTTTAAAACTCTTGCTAACTGGCTACTTAGACAAAAATTAAAGATAATCATCAGCTTCTATTTTGGTTTTGCAAAATATAATAGAAACTGGAGATTTTTTAAAGTCAAAACAGAAACCACTTCAATCCTTACTGTTACAAACCATGTCATGACATGCTAAGCACCATCCTCCCTCTGAGTTTCTATGTCTTTATATTGCAAGGTACCAAGACATTCTTTCAATAATTCTGCTCTTTTGAATGCTTTTTCTCCCATATCTATTAAAACTCTCATTATCAACCCCGAAAATCAATATTCCAGAGGTCACCTATGCAAGGAAACGGTTTGTTTTATTTTTTAGTGAGATACTTAAAGTCTCAGATGACTTTGGCATCCTTGCCCAGCTGTTCAGGCAGAGGCATGAAGAAGACTGCTATAAAGTCATTTATTTCACATTTCTAATTATAAGGTAATTTTTAAAAATTAACTCATAGCGAAGACATTTCCTTACTATAAGAGAAAATATGTTAATATACACACGTCTGAGGGAAAGAAACTGGAAATAAAAATCAACTTACCTCTGGAAATACAAACGTACAGCTATGGAATGGAGTGAAACTGCTGCGATACCAAGAGTGAGCCGGCTTTGAACCGCATTCAAAAGCAGCTGGAGATTTCCTGCCGGTGAGTCAGCTGGGCTCTTGATCTCTGCTTTATTGGCTGCCTGCAAACACTTAACATTTCCTGGTCAGATCCACAAACTGTAACTCTTCACTGACTGCAGATAGGAGCGATTACAGAAACAGAGGTTGGACAGCTGCTTCTTCCAGGTCAAGGAACACCAAGAGGGAAAGGTATATAACAATATAAAATACCATAGTGGATACAGCCCAGGTACAGAATTGTGTGGAGCTGTGCTCAGACTTGCACAGCTGATACTGATCTCTGCAGTGGGTCAAGCTGGCAGCACAAGTTAAAAGCTCTCTAAACTTTTTAAGTCAAGTTGATCTTAAAACAGGAAACAAATGGTGGGTTTCTGGTAGGAGGGAGGGTGGGCAGGCAGGCACAGGGTGATGTTGTGTTACACAGAAGGCAGGTTCAATGGGCTGTCAAACAGCCCTCCTGAAGAGGATGTAGGGGTTAGGGTGAAAGCCAAGCTGGTCATGAGCCAGGAGTGTGCTCTTATTACAAAGGAGAAAATTACATGCTGGGCCGCATTAGAAATGCAGGCAGGAAAGTGAGATAAGTCATGGTGCCTCAGTGCCCAGAAATGGTGAGGCTGCTGCTGAAATATTGGAATCAGCTGTAGGGCCCTCAGTTCAAAGAAAATGTTGACAAACTGGAGAGGACACAATGCACAACTAACAAGATGGGCCCTGGGGCACTTACCTCAGCACAGCGGCTCGGAGGGCCAGCCCTGCCTGGCAGAGGCAGCAGGCTGAGCAGGTATCAGGGTCCTACAGCTATTTGAAAGCCAGTTCTTTATGAGGACAGAGACAAATTCTTCTCCATGGTGGCAGATAACCACCAGTGGCATAGGCACATGTCTCCACTTCAGAGGTTCAAGTCATATGGTAGAAAAAAAAATCACCACGTGAGTAATGCAGTTCTTTATGGGCCACTCAGGTTTCAGAGCCTCCATCCTTCAAAGGTCCTGACTTAGCTAAACAAAACCATGGCTGAGCTGACCCAGCACCGCCAGCAGTCCTGCCTTTAGCAGGAGGCTGGCTAGAAAATGACAAAAGCTCTGTATACCTTTAATTTTGTGAAATCCTTACAGGGCCTAATTGTGTTCCTGCTAGGTCCCCAGCATACATATTCCCACTGGAGGCTGATGGTTCTGCTGGATGCAAGGTGGAAACTTGGAGAGAGAGAGCACTTGTTTCAGCTGATCTCATTTCATGCAAATTTCTCTATTTATAGAGTCTGACTTAAAACCAGTGTCTGTCAATGAGATTCTGTCCACAGACTTCTGTTGGTTTTGGACCGAATCCTAACCTCCCCCTCTCCCAGGGAGGGAAGGAGCTGTGAGGCAGTTAGCTAATCCTCCTGTGATCACAGGAAAGTCCCTTATGGCATAAAATCATGTGGCCAGGGCTGTGTGGCCTGAGAGGAAGCACGCCCTGAGCTGAGTGGGAAGTTCAGAGCGTGCTTCTGCTGAGAGTGGAACTCTGCCCAGCAGCAGCTTGCTCTGCCCAGCACAGCCCTCCCGGAGGGAAATTTAGTATGAGTTAGCAGAAGCTGTAAAGGTGAGAAAAGTGGCCTGTAACAATCCTAGAGAAGGCTGGAAGCATGGCACCACAGGATCCTCCTCCCCTTGGCTTTTATTTATCAACACCTCATTAATTTTTGCCTATATTCGATACTTCTGTGGAAAGTACATTAAAAACGTTTTCCTCCCAAGGTGTTGGCCTGTCTGGCTCAGACTGTGCTGCAGGAGACTCACAAACTCTTCAAAATCCTTACAGCTAATTAAAGAAAGTTCTTCAGAGGAGCTTTGTAGATAAATTTGAAAGACTTAATTTTACAGAAATTCTTTGACACCTAAAGTACTTTTAGGTACTTCTGTATTTTTAGAATATCATGTGATGGGGAAACAGAGTACTGGAACAATCCCTCATTTGTTTACTCCTTTTGACTATTGTTTTCAGCTTAAAAAAAACCCTTAGTAAAAAAGGGGCTTTTAAAAAACCACGAAGCTTAATTTTAATCCATATGTGAAGAAAGCAGAAATTTACAGGCCAATTTGCAGTGCAGGTCTGAGCTAATTAAACATCATTATTAACTGAATGTGTTAATTAAAAAAAAAATCAGTATTTTACCTAAATATAATTTATCCAGAAAAATTTAAAGCTTCTCACATAATATGAACACTTATAAACAATGGGCAAGGAAATCCTCTACAGGCAGAACTGTCTTGTGCAGAAGTCAGACAGTTAAGAAAACAAAAGTTTAGTTTGACTGTAAATTGTTGCATTTGTTTGCCATATGCAAGGGGAAACAACAATGAACAGAAAGGTAATCTGAAGAGCAGCACTGAAAAGGATCATGGAGTGAGTGCCTGCAGGATCCTTTCAGCGAGTGGATCCAGCCATCACAGAGGGTTTGGCAGAGAACATCTGACTGTAACTGCAGGAAGAATTCTGAGACAGCAGGTTACTTCTTATGTGTACATTCATGCTAAATGACAGAACAAGTCTTCCAGCAGAGCCATGAACCTAAAAAAAAACCCCTGAGATCAGTTTTTATTCTGTTCAGAAAACAAACAAAACTGGCCCTCAGATTGTCAAAGAATGAGCAGTTAGAAACAATCATATTTATTTATTTGCCTTTCAGAGTATCCAAATAAGGTCTTTTAAAGCCTAACCATAATGTAAGAAGAACAAGAATTTTTGCTTTTTTAATGCAGACTTTTTTTGGTGACTCATTCACAAGCTAAGACAGTTCATAGGGACCACAAATGTGTTCTTAACAACACCTTAGCATCATGAAAGCAGGAATAATAATGATACCTGAAGAGTAAGTTTAAGACACAAGTAGTTTATAAGTCTTCCCCTCATAAAAGTCACAAAGAGTGGACCCAGTTACAATCAAATTTAGAACAAAATGAGGGTTTTACAAGCAGCAGCATTAAAGGGCCATGGCATAAGACAAAGCACAAATAGAGTGAGTGTGTACAATGAAAGAATGACACAGGAGAGAAGACTGAAGCATTGAGATGACCCAAATACCAAAGCCTCTGATGCATATTCAGTAAACACTACACTTGGATATCTCAGAAGAGTTCCCAGCATCATTTCTCAATCTGGCTATTCCAGTTGAGCATCTGGGTAGGATAACCTTTGGCAAAGAGGTAGGTTCTGAGGTGTTGTTTTCTTTGGCATCTTGTCTATTTCAGGAGGACTTACAAGAAGATAATGTTAAAATGCTGTAGGTTTGAGATTTGCAGGATTCAAATGCTATGTAGTTCAGTTTTATAAAGGCTGGGCTGTTGTGCATGAGTGCAGCCAATGATTTAATCATCTTGCTCTCATTACAGTGAGTGAGTATTGTGCCTGTTTGTAGTTCTACAAACAGGCACAATACTCACTCACTGTAATGGAATACTTTAAGTTACAAAAAATTATGGTGTCCCTTTTCCATTTCATGGATTTGCAGTTGAACTGAGCCTTCCTTTTTATTTTGTTTGTTTTGTTTTGTTAAAAAAAATTGTTTCTTCAAATGCTCATACCATGCTATTTTGGGAAATATTCACAACATTCATTATGCCATTAACGAGATGACTAAACAAAAGTTACCACAGCTTCTGGCCTTAGGCAATTTCCATAAAGTGAGTAGTGTCAAGCACCTGTGCTAGTTAAATTCTACCAAAGAAATTTATTGATTCATTACCCAATTATTTATACAGTGAAATCTTAAACAGTTATGATGCAATAATTCATGTAAATTGGAGCAAGAGGAAGAACTCCTAGACTGCAGAGAGCTTAGGGACCATACTTGTAACAAGTGCCCTAGTCCTCATCCCAAGCAGCTGTGATCTGTTTTGGAACACCACATCCTAAACAGTGTTAAGACAGGGTGGAGGAATGCTAAACCTCCAGGTCTGTCAATTATGTACCTGCAGATAAGTAGTTCTAGTAAGCTAATGATGAAATGTCAGAGGCTGCATTGCGTGACCTTGCTGCGAATGTGTGGCAGAGGTGAGGTTTTAATAAACACCTTTCAAAACCTTCACACACACCAAGCAAAACTCAAGCTCTTCTAGGCAAAGACTTGGTGAACACACCCTTGGGCTCGCTCCCTAAGGATACCTGTCCCAGGGTGAGGAATACTGCAGCCATATTCAGCAATCCCCCGAAGAAGTCTTTCCTCTAGGACAGCATAACATGAATGTGTTTTCCAATGCCATGCTTGTCTCCTGGATTTTTCCAGCAGAAAGTGGGCAACATTTTAATTGGCTTGATTCTGAGTGTTGCCTTTTCTCTACCTGGCAATTCTGGAGTGTGAAAATATGCATCTGGGCACAAATTGTCAACAAGAATTTTTTTTTAAAGTCCTTGACCGAGTGCTGTCTTTCAGTTGCAAAGCTGATTTGAATTCATTTGGAGATTTTTTTTTTAGTTGGGTTTTTTTATTTTAAAGTTGCAACAACATGTAGATTAAAAGCATCTGAAACATACAGATTGCTACTGATTTCCTGTAAGTTTTGGTATAATCAAACCTGCTTGGAGGCCACTTGAATGGAGTGCCATGGAAGAAAGACTTCTGAATGACTGCAGTAAATGTCAGTGGGCTTTCAGTCATCTAGGAAAACACTCTGCTTAAGGTGAACTATATTCCTTGAATTTGGTCATTAGCATACTGAACTGGAATTAAGAACATTGCCAGAGAAGAGAACTTCATTCTCTGCTGTGGAAAGCAGCCAACTAACACAGAGGACATAAAAAGTGGAGAATTTACCTTGCTTTCCCAACAGTTTTCCCACCACCAGTTGTATAACCCCTTGCAGACCAAAAGAGCCTCTCTCAACCTTAAAAAATTTACCTGGGCTAGAATCCAGCATGAGTGATATGAAGAGAGCACCTAAAAAAGTGAAAGGAGGTATTTTTATTAAAAAAAATAAATAAATTCTGCTTATGGAACTTCAATACAGTTCAAAAATTATTAAT